CCCCCTGGCCGCCTCCTGAGGTACTGATCCCACTCGCCCTCCAGCTCGGGCCACCGCAGCGCCCGGGACGAGGCTCCGTGAGGCGCGCGGCTCCGGGCCTGGGTTGGCCGGCTGCGGGGTGGGCGGCGGGGCGGGTGCGCGGTCGGGGCGCTGTCCCCGTGAGGAAGAGGGTGGCGGCTGAGGGAACGGTTCGGGGTGGGGGCTGTCTCCGGGCAGCAGCTGGCGGCATCCCCATCCTCCATCCTCCTCCCGCCTCCATGTGGTTTGAGAGAGGTTTTGTTCCAGGAGAAAGTTTGATGCTCAGACTGAGGAGACAGACGCCGTGGTCCCCGAGGCCCTTACTTTTAAAGAGAGGCGGCTCACCCTGCCTGCCAGGGATGCCGGTGCCCCGAATGTGGGCGTGCAGGAACCCCCGCACTTTCTGACCCGACCAACATTCCTGGCACAGGCCCTTCCTTGAGGAAATTCCTCTGTGGAAACCCCCTCGAGGACTATTGTGGCTTTTGCTTGAAAGCAATGCAGCAGGTAGCCAGTGTCCCCAAGTGCCCTCCCCCCAAATCCTGTGCTCTTAGAGCTTCAGAAATTTAAGTCTATCCACTCGGCCTTCTAATTAAAGCCCCCGATCACCAAAGTGTCTGAGGTGCCAGTGATCACTTCTGTCGCGTCTTGAATATTTTCTCATCGGCACATACTTCTAATGGCTTCGCCTAAGTGCTGGGTGCTGTGGAGCACCCAAAAGGGAGGAGTCACGGCCGAGCTCTTAGGGTGAGAGGTGGAAGCAAGGGTTACAGAGCATGCGCACCACTTGACGGTGGGAGAAAGTTTCTTCAAAACGAAATGGCTTATTAGGTGGGGACTGTTTGTTTACAAAACTTCTAATGCAGGGAAATAATTAGAGCTAGAGTTGAAATTTACACAAGGTCCTAGGACCACATCTGTCATAAAGTAGCTTAGGGTAGAGGTAGGAAAGGGGATATCGCATGGGCTTGAAATGAGCAGATCTCAACAAACATGTGGAATTCTACCTAGTTCCAATCAATCTGATATCTTTCCGATCACACATGTAGGTTCTCAGTTATTTATTTCTTACCAAGACATATTCATACCATGAGACAACTTCATAACACCAACTTGTGTGCCCTGGAGACAGCCTGGCCAAGGGCACCAATGGCTTGTTCTGGTACCTGTGTTTCCCTACCATGCCCAGTAACATCCCATCTGTAAGAACATTTACGTCACAAGCAAAAGGAAACTTCTTTCGCCCATGGTGACTGAACAGTGTCCATATATTGAGCACATACTCTGTGCCACATATATTACTAGGCATTTTACATATATTCTTTGATCCTCGTAATCACTCAGGTGTTATTATTATTTCCCTTGTTTTAGAGTTTAAAGAGTTTATGTAATTTTCCCAAGATTATGTGTCAAGTAAATGACAGGGGTGGGTTTTGAACGTGGATCTGTTTGACTCCCTGAGCATGCTCTTTACCACCAACTTGTGCTGTCTCCCAGCCCCTCTAGAGAGAGTCACCCGTCTTATAATAGAGTAGGAAATGCAAATATGGCAACATAAACTGTGTCTACTGGCCTTGCAGATCAGACCCCTTTATAGAATATCCTCTTCCTCTGAGAACCCACCACTGTGTGCCTATGCCTCACAAGTGTTCCCTTCACCGAAGGACAACATTGGGGACTCCCAGACACCTTCAGCCCCTAGCATGTAAGTCAGATGGACATCTCTAGATGTATAAACTCCTAGCCCTTTCGGTTAGTCAGAGCAGTCCTGCCCTCCCAGTCATCAAGTTTATTTGAAATCTACATGTATACACATACACCCCACCGATTGGCAGCAACACATCCCCCTCAGTGTTCATAGTGGCACACTCATCCTCCTGTACAACTGTCGGGGAATTTCTGACACAGGCCTGTCTGCGCGAAAGAAAAGACTGAATCAAATCCCTGGGGAAGGTAATACTAGCCCGGGGACTCCCTGGATTGTCCTCTGCTGACCAGAAAGGAAATTAATTCAGGGCCCTGGAAGCAGGAAGCAGTCTTCGCCGTGGTGTGACATGTCATGTATATGCTGTAGCCTGTTGTCAACACTATCGAAAATTTGTGCCCACCATATAGAAACCCTTTTACCTGCTATCTTGGCGATGGCACACACCTATTTCTGATTTGATTACTCATTTTTACATTTAGGCAGTTGTCACTTGGCTGAACAGTATCAAAAACTGATGTCAGAGTTGTGACACAGTAAGTTTTGAAGCTGCGCCTAAAAAAACTGTGTCTGCTACTATAATCTATGACCATTGTTTTATCATTTCCTTCCCTTGGTGTGTGTGTGTGTGTGTGTGTGTGTGTGTAGTTGTCACTTGGCTGAACAGTATCAAAAACTGATGTCAGAGTTGTGACACAGTAAGTTTTGAAGCTGCGCCTAAAAAAACTGTGTCTGCTACTATAATCTATGACCATTGTTTTATCATTTCCTTCCCTTGGTGTGTGTGTGTGTGTGTGTGTGTGTGTGTGTGTGTGTGTGTGTATTTTCTTTCTTGGTATAGTTTCAACTCTCCCTGGTTCCAAAATGATTGGCAGTGCTAAGCCCAGAAAGGAATAAATGTATTTTTGAACTGAGATCATATGCCACCTGGAAACATATCCCCGTGGTCGGCATTTTTCTTATGTTCCTCTAGTGCTAAGAATCTCAAAGTCACGTCCACATACTTTGGGATTTGCTCTCTGCTGCCTAAGTATTTCACTCGCCCCCATCCCCCACACCAGTAGCAGTGGTAAGATCTGATCGAAAAGGCAGCCCCGTCTCCCCTCTGACATCTCTAAACTGCCCCAAAGTGGAGCAGCACTAATTAAAGTGAGGAAAATAGAGCATGAGATAAGCTAATTGTTGCATTCGTGCACCAGAATGAAAATGCACCAAAAACATGGTTGTGGGTAAAGAGTAACATAGACTTCTTTAAAACGACTAGTGATGTACAAAATTCTACAAATTTTGACATCGCACAGTTCGCCTAAAGTTGAGTTCACTCAAATACCTTGTTAACTTAAAACTGTCCAACAAACTTCTACTCTGTATTCTATTTATAAAACTTCTCATTAACTTACAATGCATCTTTATTTCCATATATCATCAAATCTTAAATGCGAGCAGTCGTAGGACATAACATTATTTTTATTTTACGCAAAAAGAAAGAGAAAATGCTGCCAGCTTTGTTATGACATGGCACTTTAACAGTGGTCTTCCATGTTACTACATGATTCGGTCACACTAGTCTCAGTGTTTTCAAGTTTCCGTCATCTCTGTATGGGTTTGGTCTTTTTTCTTCTGGTACATTCAGTAACATTGCTAAGGGCGTAATAGGCGATCAGTTTGTATATATCTCGGTAACAAACCATAATACAGATTCATCTTCTGTGTCTTTCTTCACTCTGGTAGAGAATTTGGATTTTGCATTGCAAAGTAATATGGAAATGCCAACTAAAGACAAGTATTTTCTTTAATAATAATATAATATTTAGGCCCTATTGCTCTGTTTCTATGCCGCCGTGAGTACACAGTAGAAACTTTCAGTGCCAAATCAGAGTGTAATCTTTTTGAAAACCATTTAAATGGAAATTCAACAAGACATGTGCGGGGACAACAATGCCCATAACTTAGTAAATGTGATAACGAAATGAATAGCGATGACTCAGTTTACGCATATGCAGGGAAATGACAATTGTGCCACGATCATTGCCAAGTGGTCAGCAATTTTAAGATTCCATTAATATTAAGAAACATCCTGACTTCAGAGATGTTAAAATGTGCAATGTTAGCAATGAAATATGCCAGTCTGTACCCACTTAGTTTCATGAGCCCTGACCGGCCTGCCTTCTGGCGTGTACTCACCTAACCGCTCACCGCAATAGTCATTCATTTTCTTTGACCCCAAACTCCAGGAAAGCAAGGACCTTTATGTCTGGTTCTACTATGTGCCAGCCACTTGGGATAGCCCAGGACCCACAGCTAAGCTGATCAGTAAGTATCCACAGAATGAGTGAGCCAGTGTCCTCCCACGGGAGGCATGGAGACACATTAAGTCATTCACTGCTGTCCACTGGATAGAAAACATATTCTTAAAATTATGACATTGACAAGAATGCCAAACATAGAAGAAGGGTACAGGCCAGCATTAGGTCCTTGATTTCATTACCGAGCCCTATTCAAATCGTTTCCTGCCATCGCAAAACCTTTCAGGGCAGAAGAGGTTCCACTTTGGCCTTTGGTGCTCTTTGACCTCTGACAGGTTTAGACAGCTTGAATCTTGGTTCTTTCATATGGTCCAGAATCTCTAATTGCTCGAATTTTGTGCTTAGTCCAACTTCATGTACTTGTCCTATTGTATATTTAACACGCACCAGAATTACAGGTAATATCTTTTCCTACAGTCAGCTCCTCTGAAACAGAAGCTCAGTGCTGGTGACTTTGTGTGAATAGACCTCTACAAGGAGATATATAGCTAATTAGAGGCCTTGCCTTACAGTCCACTTTTTAACCCCAAAAGGTCATCTTTACATTTTGACATTTGACAAAGAAAAAGACAAAAAAGACAAACCCTTGATAGGCAGTGCAGACCTCCAGTGCCTCTGCTTCCTTACTGCTCCATGGTCCAGCAGACCACACTTCTAGGCCAAGGGCAGGAAGCTCAATGAAGG